ATCCACAACACAGCAGTCACACTTTCCACCCACGCCTGTCCGCGTCAAAACCAGGCAGGCGGCCTCACCAGCACGAGCGGTACATTGGCGGCCAGCTACGCACAGGCGCGCGGCTCGGCAGGCGTCGAGCGCGGCCGGCGTCGGCCGGCCGCGCCGAGGGGTCCGCATCGTCCCGGCGCCCGGCGGGGCGCGCCGTTCCGGCTCTGGGCGGGGCTGCGGCGCCGGCGGCAGCGGCGGCGGCGGCGCAGCCCCTCCCGGCCCGGTCACCTCGCCCGTCAGCCGCTGACCCGATTAGCGCGGCCGAGACAAGGTGAAGACGCGGGTGAACGGTCAGCCGGACACGGTGCCGCCGCTACCGGTCCTCGTCACGGACGGCGGGTGGCCGCCTGTTGTCACGCGTCCCCCGTCAGGGACGGCGGGGTCTGCCTGCTATCGCACTACTGTCCCTCTTCAGGGACGGTGGGTGTCTGCCTGATGTTAAATTCGCGTTTCACGTCAGGGACAGGGGATGCAGGTGTTTCTGCCACCACACCCGGCTGATATTTGGCATTCGTCACACTCCCGTCCCCCGTCAGGGACGCCAGGTGACGTTTACCCTCACCCTGTTGTCTCTGTCATGGATTGTTTGGGACGATACAGTGTCCCACACGCTGCCATCCAGCGTCCATTCGCAGCAACCGTTATCGCCAACTTGTGAACGTCTCAGAGGGTTTGATCATAGCGTAAAGACTTGCAAAACGCAGGTGAGAACGTACCGGGCAGATGTACAGTCTCAGGGAAGTCCAGTTCGGGTCTTGTCTAGTAAAATTAAACATGCTCTTGAGACAAAAATCACTCTTTTTTAGGCTCAAGAGCACGCCGCCGTTTTACATTGAATCATTCACCATTATTCCACTTTCCCGCTCTTCTCTAAACTCGGCTACACGCATGATGCGTGGGGTAGCGAATTGATCCCATGAAGTACCACATGAAGCTCACCACGGCTTGAGAAATGCCGGCAAATTTTGCTTGAATCTTTCGTTAGTTTATGTGCATTTCAGAGGATCAGTATCAATACAACATAGGTGCACACTGCATGATGGTGCTGATGTTACGGATCTTGGTATTCACTGACAGCCGGGTATTCAGACGCGTCATCAGCATTGGCACAAGACCTCCGTTCGCTGAAGCGGTCGCCGCGTCGCCCGCCCAGCGCCCATCACACGCTGCGCCGCGGCTGACCCTGTCCGGGCCTCAGCTGAGCCCAGCCGCAGTGGGCGGCGGCATCTCCGACGGTGTTCGGGCGTGCGGCCTTGACCCCGGCCGGTGCGCGGTGGCCACCGGCTCGCCCCGGGCAAGCCGAGTCACGTGACGTGTGGCGGGCCTGGGCGCGCCGGGCAGCGACCAGCGACGTGGATTGAACACGTGTCTCCCAGGCGGCAGCGGTGCGATGGCGCAGCGACACGTGAAATTGTTGCTAGCAGTGATTTCGGCATTGGCTGTCAGCTGTATAGAAAATGAAGCGAGCCACGCACGTCTGGTGAATGTAAGATAAAAAGCCGATGTTAGTGACTGGGAATGTGTGAGGATGTCCTGTCTAAGGACTGTTTTGTTATGACTTCAGTCGAATGCATGATATTACTGCATGGTAAGAAGCCATGGTAAGGCGATATAAGCACCCGCGCGGCATTCCTAACGATTCGTTGAAAAAAAATATTTCCAAATGCTTCGTTAACGAAAATATTCCCTGCCCGGAACATCAGCAGTTTAAGGAAGCCGCTCTTCTATCTGTGCGGCCACGATTGTCCGCTCGGAGCATGGAATGATCTTATCATTGGCGACGCATACTTGTTCCATGATGCTCGCCCAACGCTGTGAGATCTAAATGCATAAGCCGAGTGGTGCGGAAGCTAATGTGCCCGCTGCTTTCAGCAGGTTTTCAAATTACGACACATACATACACATCGTCCCGCGTGACGTGCGCACATCACCCTCAATTGGAAGACCATGCAGACACGCGCGGCAACATCGCCAGGGGTGAAGAAAGCTTCTGATTTACCGGATGTGGTAGGTGACCAAAACTGCCACTTTTCTAGCCCATTGGTGACAAAATTTCGAAAATGAAAACAAATTTCAACAGACCAAACTTTATCATGGCATACCATCCCAGCTAGATAAAGCTCAAAGTTTAGTGTTGCTCTGTACTCGCTAACGCTCGCAGCACGAGCATGTGTAGAGCACATGTCGAAACGTTGACGTTTCGCTTTATGAGCAAGTTGAACCGTAAGATGCTGCCGAACGTAGTACCCTTTACCTTTAATGATAGTTTTAAGCAGGTGACAGAAATACCAAAAAAACTATATCAGTGCTGGCGTCACAAATCAGTGGTGGCGGTGTTTTTCCAATGCCCCTCAGATCAGTGCTTTTCACAGTTTTTTTTCGGCCAAGATTCACTTCGGGAAAATATTGCAACACCTCTTGTTCGTAACAACTAATGTATCATACCACCTAATATTCCAAACACCTAATATATCACAACTGCTAATGTGTCGTAACCTCTAATGTATCGTATTTTGCATCGTTTGATAACAATATTGCATGAGATACGCTGTAAATAGTTCGGATAATTCTATAAAGGGCGAGCTTTGCACCGGAAACGATTATGCAAAGACAGTGAAGATCGCCAAAGTTTCCGCAGATTGCACGATGACGTCATAAAACCAAAAGGGGTATTGTTTCCTGGTGCTTGCAGAAGCATTTTATCGGTAAATGTAGGGTTACAGGGATGCAGTTCCTCCAAATGCGTGGGGGTGAGGAAGGTGGGGGCAGGAGGGTGCAGAAGAAAAAATGGCTGAGCCTGCCTCCGAAATGCACTTATATCAGTTTTCTCCCCAGATTTGACGCGCTTTCTTTTCACAGTTGGGAGCAGTGGTGTAGTTTCTCAAAATGAGTTTCGGGGACTAAACCTCCAAATTTTAATAATGAAAAATAATGGATAAAACTGATAACCATAATAGAAAACTTACCTCTCGTTAGGAGACACAATCCCCCTCCCCTCAACTAAAAAGGAAACTAAATGCCTCTAGACTGGTTATGTTAAATATGTCTTTTTCTGATGGTTCCATTAGTTTAGTCTCAACCATCATCCAGTGTTAGGTGGCCAGTAAATGATACTTTAGCGCAAACGAACTCATGAAACGAAAATATTTGGTGGCTACGCCGCATTTCATTTCACTTTTTCCTTTTGTTTGATCGCATTTAAGGTTGTTTTCTATTTATTTCTTATTATTTAGAAGGGTTCCAAATTTTGTCGGTGACAGAAAAGACGCTTTTTTCACCCCTGACCGTCAGCACTACTAAGCTTGCATACACGCGCATCTGGACTTCCTCAGGCCAAGGCAGGCAACTTGCGCTGCTGCAGCAGCGGGTGTATCGCCGACGTGCCGAATTTTGCGGACTCCGAGCAGGTGGTTCTCGTGGGAACGATACCCGAGTTGGACCTGCGTTACCTCGACAAAGGGCCGTTTTCATTCCATGCGAGACCAATGCAACATCACATTGGTGTCGCAATGCATCGAACTGGATTGCAATGCATTAGCAAATAGCATATTGTGATTGCCCACGAAAGGAGGTGTGGGCATGTGCTTACAGATACATGGCGAAGAGTATCTCATTCAGCACATTTCCAGCAGTTCCGCTGTTAGGTTAAAGTCTCTTTACCGAAGCTTTATTTACCACAGCAGCTGTCTCATCTGACGACCCAGCCGTTTAAGATAATATTGCACAGTCTGCAATGTTTGCACTCAGTTTGACCGCCTTCATCCGCCCAGTGAACAGCCATCACTGAGATTGGTTCAGGGGTTCGGTTTCCTCATTTTATCTATTTCTTCCTGCAGTCTGAGAAAGTTTGCTCTTAAGAAGAAGATCTTGACCATTGATATATCATACACTGTGAAAGGGACTGGGCGTACCGGAAAAGCGTTTTTGAGTTCAATACCCAAAAAGTTACCGCATCTATCTGTGTGGTAAACTTCTTTTTGCCAGCAGTTTTTCTTCACAGTGTAATACAGCTATGCAAATCTCTGGACTACACCACGGAGCTGTGACCGCAGAATGAGAGCGAAGGTGACAGCATGGCAAGTATTGGTGGTTTGTTGAAGGTTGAACAGCTGTCGCTGAAATCAAAGTATTATGTTCGCTCTAGGAGTAGGAAACGTTACATCAAGAAAGATATTCACGGGCCAGATTTCCTCAACTTGTGACAAACCAGCGCATCAAAAGTAATCGTATCCCTGGGCATTTCGGGAATAAAGCTAACCGTATCAGGCAGGTGTGCCAAACACCTGACAACACCTGACAGCCCAGGTGGTGAATTCCACCGTTACTGGATCTGCGGGTGAATTTGACGCATCCAGGAGGGAGAAGAAGCGTTGGATATCAGGTCAGATTGCTATGTTATGACGAAGAGGGGTTGTACCGCAATATTTGCCCTTGCGTACAGCCCCGTGTCTTGTCGTTGGATTGTGTTGGTGTAAATCACCGAATGATTGGATTATTTGTCTTGAAGTTGTCGATAATATTGCACGGACTCATGCCACATAATCGTCAGAGGTCCTTGGCGGCGACGACTGCAACGGATTTTTAAGGTTTCTCTGTTGTGATTCGTCGCCTCGATTGACTGTCCGCCAGTCAGTGTCAACCACACTATCCGAGGTCATACAAATGGCCATAAGTCACCATCCGACGGGCCCAGTCCGACCCACCTCGTACCGGACCGGGCCACTGAAACTGCGAAGATTCCGGTTGCCATTAAAATTCGCACGGCTAGCGGCCTCGCTCGAAACAACCTCGGCCTCTGGTCTCTGTTCGATAGCGTTCATAGCCCGATGACACGTTTTTCGAAGACTTTTAGACAGGAGTTTGGTAGCTAATCTGGCAGTACTGCAATCAGCTGTTGATATCCAAAGCAACGCGTGTGATACAGTACTGACGCAAAATAAGCATGGGACCAATGCATGTGGCAAAAATGCGTACAGTTGCGGTGGAAAGTGACGGCGGGCGTCCCTGCGAAAGCGCAACGAATTCTTGGAGGGGTCCTTGGTAGGCATTGACAGAAAGGGTGAAGCTGAAGCGTGGTTGACGTGTGGGCAATTTGTTCTCCCGAGGAACAGTGTTCGATTTTCTCAGGAAAACTAATGTGAAAGTCGTAGGTACTAAGCATCTGTCATACGCTGCATCAACATTAGTCATGTAACAGGAGACACCTTATATATTTAGGTTGAAAATGCATGCAACAGATGAGGAACATCCTGTTTTATCGTTTTTAGCATAATCTGGTTCTGGTTGTCTTGCCTACTGCTCAAACTGCAAAAATGCACATGCTGAACACATCTGGAGTAGCAGAAACACTGCAGCAATAATTTCATTGCATGTGCATTGTAAGTCTTTTAGTGTACTCTCATTTTGGATAGCAGTCTCAGTCAAAGACACTGAAAACATTATTTCCATGGAAGCAGTATGAGAATATCAGCACAATTTGACCTGGCCAAGAATGACACAAGCAGGCCGTACACAGGCAGGAGATGCAGTCAGGTTGCATAGTTGTCCATTGCAGGAGATGGATCTTATGTGGACTGGTCCACCTGCTAGCGTTGGGAAGCATTGAGGTGGCTGGAGATGGGTGGAAAGCAAGCATAATGAGCTGTGACAGCAATGTAATGTTAGAATGTCATTGGTTTTGGAAACATTGCTACCATGCAGCAATTATTTTTTATACTAACACCCAAGGCACCTTGTGTCTCTTTCCAACTCTGATGGAAGTTTATGAATAGGTATTTACTGAATGGCACCATCCTGGGCTCTAAGTGCCTCAACTTGTCCTGGCATTGTGACTGGGTTTGGGCAGTCATATTTTTGGCAAGGAATTTGTCATCCCAAATTATGATGATGACCAGTGTTTTTTACACATACCTTAATCTGTATTGAGCTAGTGCATAAAAGTGTATATATGATCTTTGTAATATAATGTTGTGCATAACATGTGTGTGTGTTGACTTGAACACCATCATTCTATGCCAGTAGGTTGCAGACATATGAGCCTTCAAAGAGCATTTGGTAGGGTTGGGTTAGATGGCTTATTCAAGCACAAGGTCCCATATGTTTTCTTAACTCTTTGCAAGCAGTGTCTTGTCTGGCTCACTGCTAAAATCAGTTTTCATCATCTTGACAGCATAATGTTTCTGACATTAGCCAGAGGCATTTGAAATGGCCTTCTATGAATGACATTACAAATCAATGACATTTTAGATGTTGGATTTCTAATGTGGAGGAACTGTTTACTTGTCTCTTAAGTGTTACTAGACTACAATGCCTGGCCAGTGTTCATTAAATTGTGTATATGCCTGGCCTAAAATGTGGAATGATACTTATTGAAATGGTGCCATTCATCTGAGAGTGAAAAATGGTCATTAGTGTCCTTAAGCATCATGCTGAATTTCAGGCCCAGACCATCATGCTTTCACATGACTGAATGTGATATTTTTTGTACCACTGAAAGTGGGATGAGTGCCTCCCTCATTTTTCCACAACATTTCTCTATGGGAAATGATACCATGAAATAATGTATTTGAAAGCATGAGAGGCATTCCTATGTAAGGCCCAAACCAAATAATTAAAGTTATGAGAGCGTGGCTGCAGAAGCACAGTGTTATTAGTTTGCCAAAAGTTTTGTAGAGGCGTCAATTCCCATGTGCATCTTTCAGGAACTGCTCACCATGGCAGATGAGGAATGTCGAAGCACGCTGGATCTGATGCAGCCCGAAGTTTTGTCTGTTGAAGTACTCAGACAGGTTCTTTCACAGGTAATGCTGCTATTGAATTTAACTTTGGCATTCACCTTGTTCAACTTACAGCTTTGAGACAACTTGGCATCCTAAATATTGAGACTCACACTGCATTAATGATGTCAGCCCAGACCTCACTGCTAGGATATGTGGCTTGATTTCAGATTTGATTTCACTGAAGGCAGTTCAGTGACAGTGGTTAAGGTTATGCATCATTTTATGGGCTGCACAAAAGGTTGACATGGGCATTTATTTTGATCAGAAGTCGGCAAAATGTCCATGCTTCTTTTTGCTGCACACAGTCAGCAGCAAGTGTATTTGTTTGTATTCACATTTGTGTTTGACTTCGTTTCTGTTGTGCCGGCCGTTCTGGTTGACTGCTCCTACTCTCATTGGCATTCATAAAACAGAAACTATTGTACCTTGATTTATCAAAGGTTTGAATGGTAGGCTTCACTCTAGCTTCACGTTGAGTCGAGAACAAGCCTGCTGTCCGCGCCGGTGACGTGCCACGCATCCGACCATAGAGTCTCACCTCATGTGTTACCATCTGTCCCGCGTGTCTGGTCTGTCGCCCGGCCTGGCCCGCGTGTCTGGTGGTATCGCCCGGCCTGGCCCGCGTGTCTGGTGGTATCGCCCGGCCTGGCCCGCGTGTCTGGTGGTATCGCCCGACCTGGCCCGCGTGTCTGGTGGTATCGCCCGGCCTGGCCCGCGTGTCTGGTGGTATCGCCCGGCCTGGCCCGCGTGTCTGATCGTATCGCCCGGCCCGCTCCCGCGTGTCTGGTGGTATCGCCCGGCCTGGCCCGCGTGTCTGGTGGTATCGCCCGGCCTGGCCCGCGTGTCTGGTGGTATCGCCCGGCCTGGCCCGCGTGTCTGGTGGTATCGCCCGGCCTGGCCCGCGTGTCTGGTGGTATCGCCCGGCCTGGCCCGCGTGTCTGGTGTATCGCCCGGCCTGGCCCGCGTGTCTGATCGGTATCGCCCGGCCCGCCCCGTGTCTGGTGGTATCGCCCGGCCTGGCCCGCGTGTCTGGTGGTATCGCCCGGCCTGGCCCGCGTGTCTGGTGGTATCGCCCGGCCTGGCCCGCGTGTCTGGTGGTATCGCCCGGCCTGGCCCGCGTGTCTGATGGTATCGCCCGGCCTGGCCCGCGTGTCTGGTGGTATCGCCCGGCCTGGCCCGCGTGTCTGGTGGTATCGCCCGGCCTGGCCCGCGTGTCTGATCGTATCGCCCGGCCCGCTCCCGCCCCGAGCCGTCTGACCGTGCCGCCGCCAGCGCCTGGTGTCGACCGAGCTGGCCGGGGCACCGAAGCCGGCATTGGTGGAGCTCTGGCACCGTCTGGTGACGCCGCTGCCGCAGCGGACCTACGGCGGCACCAACACCGGCCGCTGGTACGCGGCGCGCCAGCGGAGGCCGAGGCCCGGCCCGGCCGGCGACAGGTCAGCAGGCTCGGGCTCGCCTTGTGCAGGGTGGGGCGCCGCAACCGCGGCCAGTTGTGGGGATGTAGGACCACTGACCGTGATGTCTGCGGATTTTTGTGGTGACCCTCAGGTAAATCGCTCGCTCTGGTCGGATCTAGCAGGCTCTGCCTGTTTCGTTGTGGAATAGACCAAGATGGGTGTTCCAAACTGACAACAGAGAATTGGTGTCGTGGTAAATTCGTCCGTAATACTGTGATGCGATGCGTTTTCCTTCTACATTGGAAGTTGTTCCATAGCCTCCTGTGGTGTCGTCGATCACGAGACCAGTGCGGTTCCTTACCGTAATGGAACGTGATTTGCGTCCGGACTTCACGTCCCATGGCTGCCGGGGTCCTGCCTTCTCCTTGGTTTGTGATCAGGCTAGTTTGGCCAGCGCAACCACAGGTCAGGCCGGTGCTGCGTGACCCAGTTGCTGAACACTCCCGCTAACTATACGTACATGAGTTGAACCCGAGCTATCTTCCAGTGCGTGGAAGTCAGCCTCTCTGTCGCTGTCGGACGGCCGCTCCAACGCGTCAGCCGCCGCCGCGCGCGTTGCTGCACCCAGCGTAGCGACGGCAGCGCCGCCCGGCGGCGATCGCCTGAAGCCTCCGCCTGCGGCGCTGACGGGCGAGAAGCGCATCATCAAGCTGAACGGCAAGCGGTCAGCCGAAGGCTCTCTGGACGGCATCGTCATCCGGCGCCGCACTGAAACCAGGGAGGCCACGCCGGACGAGGGTGCGAGGTCACGCGTCACGCCCCCAGCCGGCGGCGCCGCGCCGGCGGGCGTCACGGTCGGCGCCGTGGGCGCGACGGCGGAGACGCAGCCGGCAAACAATGGGAAGCAGGAGCCGGTGGACTGTTCGCTGGACATCAAGGCGAAGCTGCAGGTGGAGAAGCGGAAGATCAAGATACGAAGGAAGGTGTCCGGGCCTGAACCGGAGGCGAAGCGAACTGCTGGAGATCGGTGAGTGGCGGTTGCCATGGGGGCCTCATTTTGGTGTCAGGTAGATAGGTTGGCCCTTGCGCCTCAAACAGATGGGAACCTCGCCCATCTGAGCTGTCTTTCGCTGACGATCATTGGTTGACTCATGTGGACGTCTTGTCATTTGAATATGAACTTTGAGACAGCAGAGGGGTTGTTTTCCTTCTACAATACAGCACGATGTGCTGGTTGCACTGGGATGCGTGCGTTTTACAGTACGAAGGTTCGGCCGCGGCGATTTGAAGGCGCGTGGGCTGTTCAAGTCTTGGTTCGTGAGTTATGATTTATGTTTTGCCTGGCGCTGGGTACATCCAACAACGTGCTTGAAATGCACTGAACAGGTCACGCTTGTGAAAGTTCATAGTCGGCTTCCGTGATCCGCTGTCGGGTGTGTGTCAGGAGCTGACAGACGTCAACGTTACTCATCCCGCACCTGGGCCCTCGTGCGAGCGAGACCTCAGCCCGCCGACCGAGCGTGCCGTGTGGAAACTCTGGGAAATTTGTCACCTTCAGCGACCTGGCCCGGCCAGGCCACATTTTGCAAGAGTGAATATCTTTGCAACCACGGATTGCAGGTTTATGCAGTTTTTGGCAACATGAAGCGCGGCTGTTGTGTACGTTTTGATTTATACATTGTCAGGCATTGTGGTGTGCCAGATGTTTGACCGGACGGGTGTCCAATGCAACATCGCCACATTTCCACGACCCGACCTTTCCGATTGAATTAACATGGACGAGCTGGAGCCTGCAAAGTGGAAAAATCAACACCTGGAGAACATGGATTGAAACCAGGTGCATACATCGCCGACTCGGGAGTGCAGCGGGATGGGCAGTGCAGCACATGGGACTGGCACACACTCGGCATTGCAGCACATGGGACTGGCAGATCCAGACTGACGCGAAAACGGACGAATATTTTTTCGCAAAAACCTTGGACGATGATTGCAGATAGTCAAGCTGTCATGTCCAAGTAAAGGTTATACCCGTCCTAAGTTTTTAAGGATTTATTCTGTGCTTCAACAATCAGAGCAGATGAAGGGACGAAACTAGCTGGTGGTGCAGGCAGACATGACGTATAACTCAGTCATGATATCGCGGAACTGTCCTCCCCATTGGTGCGCCAGAAAGCGAGCGGCTAGCGACCATTGACGGTTTCCCTCGGGACCAATCTCCCCCCCCCCCCCCCCACACACTGAAACCCCTCGGAGCAGGCCTGAGCGACGGCTCCGGTCGTGCGGCGCCGCAAGAGACGTCTCACGCGAGGCCTGAACGCTTGCACTGTACAGTGTAATGGTGGAGGACTTGGGAGACAAGCTTCGTGTCTGACACGCATCGGTGTCTCCCAACGTTGGGCCAGCGGAGGCGCGCGTCCCTCATGACGATCCGGGAGGCAGACGGAATGGCGATCCTCTCCCAAAGTTAGGAAAGTGCATACTAGGCCTGGGATGGCGCATAATAAAAAAAAGATCAAAATATGTTTTCCGTCCCCCCCCCCCCCCCCTCCAACTCGTCTTCCTAAGATTCCTCGCCTGATGTGAAACGGCATGACAGACTCAATGATGCCGGAACGCTCGCTTCGGTCACTAGTCACTTTAATTGCGAAATTTGGCGCTAGATGGCAGGAGTGGCCGGTGTTAAACGTTCGTGGGAACTATAGCCTTCGTTTTAATGTTTTTCGCATAAGATTCACCACCAATGAGGCTAATTAATTCTAAGCCACCGCTGCAATGTTTGCGCTATTTGGGGCGACGAGCATGCGTTTTTAAGAATTTGACCGAACCGCGAAAACTACAAAAATGGTATCGCGAGAAGAGGTCGTCTGCAAGGACCGCAGACAGCCTCGGAAAGGAGGGAGGGGGCACAGGGATGGCAGAGGGTTCTTAGATGTTAAGAGCCCCCCCCCCCAAAAAAAAGATAATCGGGGCGAGTGAAAGTGATGCGCATTTGTGAGGAACTCTCTTGAACGCTTAAGGTTGCTGAGAAGGAACGGATGAATTGGAATGGAACGAAGGAATGGATTGGACCGGGCTTGTGGCCCCAGATCGATACGGGAGCCCTCATTGACGCAACACGATGCCTTATCGCTGCAGAGGTCCGATAATTGGCACAGGCTCAATTTCGGCTTGACGAGCCCTCGGCTGAAATGAGTTGGAGGGCCACCCGTTCCACACTGAAGGCACTGACTGGTGCGGGGCCCTTCCATTGTCTCATTCCGGACTCTCATCATGAGGTTTCATATTTCCCTCCATTGTCAGAGGGCCCCGACCAACGCAAGAGGCCCCTTGGCACTCGCGGTCCAGTCTCTATCTCTAGTCAGCAAGTATTCCCTTTGCCGACTCGGGACCTCTTACCGACGACGGATCCCTTTAAGGCACTGAAGGTCCGTGACTAACGGGAAGTAGGACGCAGCGTGCTGTAATCCATTGTAAAAAGAATATAGAGATCACGGTGTGAATTATCCTCGATTTTGTTTAGGCGTTCACTGTTCGCCAGCCCTGTTCGAAAGCCCCCACCACCCACCCGATGATTCTCCCGAAGCTCGAAAGTCCGCGGGTATGACGCCATCAGAGCACTCAGCCGTGACGTCGCTATTTGACGTCACTCTACTCAATTTCGGCGCGTGACTGCAGACCACGGGGGGGGGGGGAGGGCATGGTCCCAGGCGCGGCTCCAGCTGCTGGCACGCCCCGCAACGAACTCGCCGCGCCGTCGAGCGCGGCACCACCTGCTCGCATCACCCCTCCCGCGTCGCGACGCCCCGCCGTCGGGCGACGTGTGCCGAACGCCGGCACCACCGCCGCCGCCCCCCCCTGGCGGCGGCGGCGGCGGCGAGCCGCCCGACAGGTCACAGGCGTTGGCAGGCGGCGGCGTCACGTGGTCGGCTCGGGTGTCGGCGCCGCCCCTCCAGCCGGGCCGGGGCACCGCCGCCTGCCGCCGCGGCCGGCGGCCGGGTCCCTGCCAGAGCGAAGCGCGGCACGGTCCGGTTGAGGTTGACATGTCCCTGAGGCGACGAGAGGCAGCCCGATGGGGCCTGGGACAGGGGCTCAGCGGGCCCTGGTGGACGCCCATAACACGCTGACTGTTCCCGAAGTAGAATAACTGGGAACCGAAATAGCGACAGTAACATCATTTGGGTCAGGCAGCTGAGCGGACGAGGTGATCGGCCACCGTGAAAACGCTGATGGGATGCGGTTCGTGGAGCCATATCATTCCCAGCAATCGTGTCTGAGCCGGTGCGATGGGGCCGTTCGAGGTCCGCCGCCTCGCTGAGGTGGCTGGTGCCCCTCAGCAGTGCGCGTGGCGGCGCGCTGCTGGTTGGTTTTCTGGCAATATGAGTTTTAAGTTTTTATGCTGGGTTATCGATATTCAACATACCTGGAGGTCCTGGTGAAATCATGAGATAGGGCAACTATTGGTTACACCGACAGTTCTGAACGTTTCAAGCCGTGAGCATAAACCCAGCCTGAAACGTTTGCTTAAACAACATAACCAACGTGTGCGCTACAACACGGCACCTTCTGGTGTCTCGAAGGTCGATAGCCCACCGTAAGAGCTCGGTTCACCCCCGGCAAAATCGACAGCCGTCAACCGCACGCCCCCCTGCGCCGGGCGGCCTCGTCCAGAAGGGCCATCTTTGGCGTGTCGCGGTCCTGCCATCGACCTAGGCGTCGGCGCCGACTGCCTCCCCTCCCCCCTCCGTGTGTGGGGCCAAAACTGGCCGTCGGCGCCGCCCTGCGCTCGCCGTCGGAAGCATGCCATTCCACGGCGGCCGGGCCGCGCCAAACGGAGCCGGGCGGCGGGCGACGTTGCCGGGGGGAGGGGGGCGGGGACGAAGCCGAGGCGGGGCGGTGTCTTGGCGGCGGTGTTGCCGGGGCTGGGATGCAGCTAGAGCGGGAACGGAGCCAGGGCGATGACGGAGCCTAGCGGTTACGGAGCCAGGCGGGGACGGAGTCATGGACGCCATATGACCGACGTGGTCGGTGCGCCCCAAAGCCCAAATAATCATCACGGGGGGCGGAGTCAAGCAGGGACAGAGCCCCGGTCCACGCCGGGCAGGGACAGAGCGCAGCACGGACGGAGCCCCGGTTCACGCCGGGCGAGGACGGAGTCAGACGGAGTCGGACGGGGACGACGCCGGGCGAGGACGGAGTCGGACGGGTACGGTACCCGGGCGGGGACGGAGTCAGACGGGGACGGCGCCGGGAGAGACCGGCGTCGGACGGGGACGGCGCCGGGCGGGGACGGAGTCGGACGGGGACGGCGCCGGGAGGGGACGGAGTCAGATGGACGCGGTATGGCCGGACGCTCCTGTGCCACGTTGTACCCAAACGAAGCGAGTCTCGTTTGTAGTCGTACTCGGATGATCGTCTCGATGGGGTGGAGCACATCCTCAAAAAGTGAGCTGAGTTTTGAGGTAGGACGTATTGTATCACTTTGAGCAATCTTATCGCAGGTGTTTTGCGTGGTAGCATGGGTGTCGATTTGCATTCTTTTGCTGGGCCCCTGCCCGCCCCCCTCCTCCTACCTCCAATGTTGAGTTGGGCCTGCGAATGCGGTTTGCCCCCCTCCCCCGCCCAATATTTTGGGCTGGAATATTACAAAAAACGTAGGAAAGAATTGGCCCATTACACAAGTACGATCTTCTTTGATTCTCCCTCCTAGCGGCGTTTCCAAGGAGGGTGCAGCAGCTGGGTAGCTTGAAACCCTGACCTGAATGTTACGTCTTGAGCCGATGGGTAACTTGACACATTGGGGTGAACTACTTTATAACTTAACTGCTTTCTTTGTTGTAAGCCCAGCTGTTTCCCGCAACCTAACATGATTTTGACGCCACGGATTTTTCGATGCAAGATCTCCTAAAACAACAAAATTGCGTAGCAATTTCAACGTTGGCGCGGCATACATGGTGCAAATTATGGGTCAAGTTCCAATTTAAAAATTATGAACTTTCACGGAAAAAGAAAATTTTGCGCGGGACGATCTTTAG